CCATCCATCCATCCATCCATCCATCATTCATTTCATTCATTCATTCCTTTATTCAGTGTCACTGCATACTACTGTGTACTATCTGGGCCTCATTGTACAAAGGATGGATAGTACTATCCGACTGATAAATGTTTATCCATAGGATAAGTCGATACCGTTATCCAATACATTTATCCACTAATAAGATTCATCCATCCGATAGCGCTACCCATCCTTCATACAACCTGGCCCTGGTTGATAGCACCATGATAGGAAGTGCCTGCCTGTCTGTGATTGTAGGCTGGTAATGAGATTCACAAGGTTGATTCAACTGATTGATACCAAGCAATAGAATACTGTCTGGGATTCATTCTAGTAATAGGTACTAAGCAAATGAAAAATATATTTAATACAACTTGTGTACACTTTTACCATGATTACTTCTTGTTGTAAACTCAGTTTCAATCCTAGTGGCAACAAAACCAGAGGCGGAGGTACATCCACTTGCATGGCCATAGCCAAAGCAATACTGACATCCTTTGGGATAATTCCCGTCCACATTGAAGGTATTGGGCTTGCACTGGTCACATTTCGATCCCCGGACATAGGGTTTACACCGACACAAACCAGTGGTAACATCACAGACTGACGTAAGAGAACCTGCTTCTGAACATCCACATTCTGGTATAACAGAAATAATAATAAGAGTAAATAATTTGAACCCAGGTGTTGAAGTTTGGTGTGAAATGTAATCGTCCGGGTGAGTGTAGTCTTGAGAAAGACTGTTGGTGGTGGTGGCTGACGTTTCGACCATCTGAGCAGAAGTCATCTTCAGAGTCCAGTGAGATAATGAGAAATTATAATAAAAAAATTATATAACTGAAGACCTTGCAATGAAAAAAGGTATATGAGCACGGCGCAGTTAAATGCCAGTGCCTGCATACATGCGTGTATGTGTGTCTTATGCATGCCTGCATGCGTGTCTTATCACCTTGTCCAGACACCATGTGATCAATTGCATGTACTATTTCGTGGGAAATAGATCCCTCTCCAAATTTTCTTGAATGCAAGGCTAACATAGAAATATGAAAGAAATGCCACAAATGCCGTCAAGAAAAAGTGATTTATTTTTATTTTTTGTTTGCCTTGCATCCAAATTCTTTTTGAGAAGGGTCCATTATGACTGTGAGGTCGCAGCATAAGAATTGAAATCTTCAATTATTTTGTGCTGCACAGTTGTAATCAGACAAATGTTACACACGGTACTTTTGATCCCGTTCGAACCAATAGTTGACACGTTTTTGCTGGAACTTATATTTACTGCTTCTTTCTTTGAGATCTATGCTCAGTACATGTGTGTAAGAATATATCCCTATATAT